CACCTGACTTTGCCTTATTGATACTTTCTAGTTTTATGTACTCTCTCTTCTGCTTTCCTCATTCAACTATTTTTATGTTTATTTTGTTCTACTTAAGATACTTATTTAAGTAGACGTAAATGTCTTTTACAGCCTTAGACACTAAATAAGCAAATAAATAAATGCCATTTCTCAAAAAAACACTATAGCTTAATATTTTTTGAATACTTTAAAAAGATTCTTCACTTCCCTAATGGGAATTAATGATTCCCATTAATGATTAATGATTGTCTAAAGCTGTGCTATCCAATATAGTAGTTCCTAGCCACATGTAGTTATCTTAAATTAAAATAAAAAATTCAGTTCCTCATTATTCAAAAAGATATATGCACCTCTATGTTTATTGCTACATTATTTATAATAGCCAAGATATGGAAGCAACCTCAGTGTCCATCAGTGGATAATGGATGAAGATGTGGTACATATACACAATGGAATATTATTTAGCCACAGAAAAGAAATCCTGATCTTTGTGATAACATGGATGGACCTAGAGGATATTATGCTAAGTGATATAAGCCAGGCAGAGAAAGATGAATACCGTATGATTTCACTATATGTAGAATCTAAAAAAATAAAAATGAATAAAACAGAAATAGTCTCAACACTGAGAAGGGACATTACCATGGAGGAGGGGTTGGGTGGGGTAGGTAAAACAGGTGAACAGATAAAGATGTACAAAATCTCAATCATAAATTATCATGTGGATGAAAGTACATACAGAATAAGTCAATAACATATGTAACATCTTTCTGTGTTGACAGACAGTAACTACACTAGTTGGGGTGAGGATTTAATAATGTAGATAACTGTCAGATCACTGTTGTATACTTGAAATCAATATAAAATTGTATATTAACTATACTTCAATTAAAAAAAACAAAAAATTCAGTTCCTCATTTGCATTTAGCATATTTCAAGTGCACAGTAGCTGCATGCAGCTAGTGACTACCATATCAAAAAGTGCAAATACTATTTCCATCTCTGCAGAATGTTCTATTGGATACACCTGTCAAGTAATCTGTTGTTGTCCTGTGTGGATGTGTGTCACATGTCATTTGAATCATTCCCTGTTCCTATATCTCAAAGATATTGCCAAGAAGAAAAGGTAATGCTCAGATTTCATCTAGCAGACTGAACACAAATGTACAATACATTGAGGTATTCCAGCTGGTTGCTTACATGTCTGTTGTTTACATGTCACTGCTCAGTAAACAGTGCTGTGTATAAAAACAATAATCTTTATTTTTATCTATTTTGATGGAACTCTTCTTCTGATTTCAAATACTGTGGCGTGAGTTAATCGTAAGTCTCAGTGGTTCATCATCATCTTTGGTCTGAGAAGACCCTTCTCATTTTATTTCTTTTTTACCATTTATCCCACTGCTATTCCACTTGTCCCAAAGCAACCATTTCAATGTACTTGATGCACGCTCTTTGTTAGCATGCGTTCTTATAAAACACAGAGTTTTATATGCATGGATCTTAAAAATATGCAAATATTGTTATAAACCTCAATCTGTTTATTTTTCTATTCAGCACTGTTCTTAAGATGTATATATTTTGCTGTGGGTGTGTCTAGTCTGTCATTTTTCTCTGCTAAATGGCATGAACATATAGCATTTTGCCCCTCCACCGCCCCAACTACCTCTGCCCTCTGGCCCCCAACACAAATACGTTGTGACGACGATCCTTATGCAAAGGGAATGAAAAACGTTCTATTAATTTCTACCAGGAAATCAGATGTACACTATAATTGTCCCAGGCCAGCTGAAATGCCTCATCACCTTATTCACAAAGGACCCTTAGGAACTCCGAGAATTCCTTCTTGATTTGTACCCAGGAGTGGACTTGCTGGGTCAGGAAGCACACAGACCTAATATGCAACACCAGAGTCCTCTGCAGACTTTCTACCCCAGTTTACATACCCATCATTAGTGTATTAGGGTTCCATGATTTCACATCACCACCACCATGTGTCATTATCTTAATTTTACCAGTCTACTACATGCAAAGAGATGGCTCCTTGTTAATTTATGGCACATTTTTCTATTAACTGAGGAGTTTGAGCATGTTTTCTTATAGTCTTGTTAGTCTTTGGTATCTTCCCTTTCTGTGAATTTTGACTCTCAGTCCTTGCTCATTTTCCACTGGGGTACCTGTCTTTTCGATTTGCAGAAGAAAGAAATTTTTCTAAAGTGTGGCACATTGCTTTGTTATCCTAAACCGAATAACCAGCATGACTACCCCTTCTTGCAGAGTTAGGGGCACATGATGATGAGTATAAGTAACAATGCTGGTGTTATAAGATGCTATAGATACTATATTAAATGGTTACAAACCAATTGTCATGGACTGAATTGTCCCCCCAAAATTCCTATGTTGAAGCCCTAGCCCCTAATGTATTTGGAGATGTGGCCTTTAAGGTAATTAAGGTTAAATGAGGTCAAAAGTGTGGGGTCCTGATCCACTACTGCTTCTTTCCTTATAAGGAGAGACAGAGCAAGTAGGTGTGCACACAGAAAAAATGCCGTGTGAGGACCCAGGACAACTAGCCTGCAGAGCCTGAGGAGATAATTTCTATTCCCTAGCCACCCAGTCTGTGGTTTATTGTCACAGCAGCCCTGGCGCCTACTACACCAACCAACACCCAGGGAACACGTTCACATTCGGTTGTGTGCATCTTTCTCTTAAGATAAAATGAAAGATGCCCAGCTGCAGCATACATGAGTCAGTGTAACTTGCTATCTTTTCAAAAATCATTTATTGAGCCAAGAGCAAAAGCAGCCCTATTTTAAGTAATGCCCTCAGACCCCAGCAAATCTCTAATCTTTTTTTTGCATCGTAGCCACCAGTGTCACCTGTCTTAGCAGTCAGTATCTTCCCAAGTAGCACAAACAGTAGATCGCGGGTGCTGCCAGTCAGCTCTTCCCCTCTCTTTATACACCCCCACTAGGACCTGCTTGCTGTAGCTCCCTGAACACCAGACTGCAGCACTCTGCAGGGCCAAGCTTACCTTGGGGGATCCCTCTCTGCCAGGCTTCAATCTCCCAAGTTACCCAACCTTCCAGAGAACCCCTTCGAGTTCCTAATGAATGTCCTGTGACCCTATAGAAGCTAATAGGACTTGGCCTAACTCTTCACTATATGGTGCCCGTCTCCACCACTGCCTTCACCACTCTCGCCCCTCAGAGGATGGCTGGCCTCTGGTCCTACAGGAGGGTACACTCCCTCAAACTTCAGTTTATCTCAATGACTACTGTCATATTTCTTTATCCTGTTTTTCTCTCTTTCTGTCATTGTATTTTTTTTTCTGTTATTACACTATCTACTACTTATAACCCTTGTGTCTACTCTGTTTCTCTATCTGCCCCTTTCATTCATATATTCTTACTTTTTATTTTCTCTTTGATCACCATCCCCTACTGCTTTTCTCATGCTCCCTGGCTTTGGGCTGAACTGAGCATCCATCCATTCTCGTTCTGGCCTTACAGAGATGCTCTCCTTCCACCGCCACTTAGGTTTCAGGGAGAGAAACCCCCTGAAATCACCTGGTAAGTTGAGTGTGTACATGCACACCTGCACACACATGTGCATTTTTCTGGGGCAAGAACTGTGGCAGATCCTAGGGACCATCTACCCTCAAATGATCCCTAATTCCCTAGGCCTCTGACTTCCTTTGCTAGAGAGGCTGAAAAGCTAAAATTTCCAAATTCCCAACTTCCTTTATTTGACCAGTGAGGGAAAAAAAATCCTTTCTTGAATAAAAAACAGAGCCTAACCAGGAGAAAACCCTTTGCCCTTCATTCTTTTCCATCATTCTTGCCTGGGATGTAGCTGTATAGCATAGAGGTACAGCAGCCGTCTTGCAAACATAAGGCTGCAAGTCTGAGGATGAAGGCCTGCACATTAGGTGAAAGGGCACAAAGTTAAAAGGAGCTCCCATCCCTGAGGGTATCCTTGAAAAACAATCCCAGCCCTGGACTGACTACCTCAAGATATTTGTATATGTTATAAAATAAGCATACACACAATTTTGAAAAGAAGAGGTAAAAATATTATAAACAGAAATTCTAAAATTTCCTTCCTTCTCCTGATAGATTGTTTTGCATAAGCCCTAAGGGCAAGCATACTATTTTGGATAATTCTGCTGAACAACCAAGGCATTACTGGGAACATAAATCAGCAGAACTTAAAACAGCAATGATGAGGATGGGTGGGTATACCCCAAAAAGTAGACTATAAGATATGGTGGTAATGTGAGATCATTTTGTTTTATATTGAAATGATTAGAAGGACATACATAGAATATTAATGGTGGTAGCTCTCTGCGTGTGTATTCATAGCTCTCTGCATTGACCATGAATTAATTTGCAATAGGAAAAAAGAAAAGAAAAAGAAAAGTTATTTTAAATATCTCAATAGCTCAAGACAGACCCTCCCCACATTCCAAAATTTGCATTTTCCTTCAAGATGTCCTTGTCACAGTCTGTGTGTCTCCCTGCACAGACAAGCTCCACTATGAACCCCCACCTGGGATGACCAGGTAGGTGTGGTGGTGAGAACTGGCAATGATGGCTCATGTCAACGGGCCCCAGCCTGCTCGGTGGGGAGGAGGCTGGAATGGGGAAAATAAACTCTCTGTAGGACATCTTACTGGTGTCTGGACCACCCTCTTACAGATGAGTGGATTTTCCCCATGTCCATTTATTGCCAAATTGCCCTCATTCTTTTCCCTATCACAGAATGATGGGCATTTAACCCTGGAACACCATCTAGTCCACTCCTGTCTTTTTGGCAATGGGAAGAGCAAGCTCTGAAAGTTAAGGGCATGTCCAAGGCCAAAGAGGACCATAAGCAGCAGAGTGAGGACCAGAACCCATTCAACTGTTAACAGCCACCATCACTACCACCCCAACTGCCATGGGGAACCCCAGGGTGCCATCTGCACAGTCTCTTACCCTCACAAAAGGTCCCCGATGTCACCTCCACCTTAAGGCCAAAGTAACTACAGGCTCAGTTCACATGATTTTCCAAGGCTAGAAAGAAACAGAACGAGGAGTTGAACCCAGCTCTGTGTGGTTCCCAAATCAGGGCTCTTTCCACCACTTCCGCTGACTCAAGACAGTGTGTGTTTGATCTGTTACAAGTATATCTGCAATTTCTCTATAGGCGTCCCTAGCTATGGAGCCTCAGGAAATCCATTTCAATCCATTTCCCTTCCTGAAAGAGCCTGTTCTCTCAGCAGCTGGTGGTATTTGATTTGATTAACACCCTGGGACCTATCACCAGATGTAAAGATGATGCCTAATTAATTACTTACATTAAAGAGCTGGCACTTTCTGCATTCGGATCACACTTCCAGCCTCAATCATGTTTTCATTTCAGCAATAATATTTACATGATTAGCAAATAGTCAATTCATACTCTGGTGTGGACCTAAGCTGTGTGTGGGACTTCCCAAAGCAGATGTCCTTGACAGGTGTAAAGAAATAGGCTTTTTCTCACAGCCAGAGCCACGAGCAAGATCTTCTGCTTGCTTTTCAATGAAAAATCAGGCTTGGGCCAACAAGTATTCATTGGCCACTCACCTATTCTATGTGTCAGTCATTACATTTCCAAGACCTCACACGGGCTAAAAAGAAGTGCTCTCACTAAGTCACATTAGACTAAACTCTGTTTTCTTTCCTTTCTTTTTTGTTCCACGATCTAGATGAATACATTAGGGAAAGACATTCATCTGAAGTTTCAACAGGCATTTTCTAAAGTCTCCCAAGATATTATTATGTAAGGGGGAGAAATATAGCCTGGATGATACTACAATTAAGTGAGTTTGTAATGTTAAATGACTCCTGGGATGTGAATCAAGATCAACTAAAAAAAGGTAATGTGCCACCAGACTATCCTAAGCAATATTTTTAATCAAGAACTCAGATAACGATACAGAAAAGCAAGATTGTATGTTGTGACAGCAGAAGTTGGAAGGGATAAGGTAGCATTTTGAGCAACAAACTTCTTGACAGACTGAACAATGGGTTGAATTTTATTTAACATCATGAAATTTCATAGGAACAAATGCCATAGAACCACCAGCACCAGTACTACACAGAGAAGACATGGCTTTATGGAAAGCCCAGAGGACTGCCATCAGCCACAAGCCTAACATGAGACAGTGGATGATAAGGCCCCAATCACGAGGCATCTTTTTGACTGCATTTGTAAGGTGTCTAGGCTTAATGGTGAGAGTCTCGTGCTAATTTTTACTAGTCAGATCAGCCTTAGATATTGCATTCAGTTCTGCTGCAAGTAAGTTACCATATATGATATTGTACTAATTGGGACTCTTTTTAGAATGAAAGGGTTTGTAGGTGACACTTAAGTCTGGAAAATAGGCATAAACTAAGACTCCTGGATGAATTGGATTTATGTTACCTAGTCATAAGGGTTATATAGACAAATCGGAGGTATTCAGAGGAGAGATTTGAGGATAGGAAGGCCTCACAAAAATGGATTATGATAAATCTTTGATGAAAGAGATGTTTAGTCTATGAAAGAACAGTGTTAGGTTGATATGAAAGCTATTTCGAAAAATGCAAAGGGTACATGTGAAAAATGGATGGGACTTGCGGATTATGGGTCTTGAGGGATTCTACTATGAGGTGTTCAATGAGAGACTATGATGCTTCTTAGGAACCCCAGTCCATGAGGGCAGGAAGGAACAACTGACCTCCAAATGTGAAAGACTCTGTGAGAGTCCACGTGGGTCCATCTGTCTGTTCCTGTTCACATGCCTACTTGACTCTTCAGAATATTCCAATAAAATAGCAATAACCTCTTCTTAATGAAACACAGGTGCTTTTCTTTAAGAACATTATTACTGTTTAAATACATGGTGGTAATTCTTTTTTCAGAAAGAATGTTCTTTATGGAAGTTAAACACACACAGTCTATGATTCCCTGGGCTCTCTCTTGAGTTTTATATATGCTTCCTCCAGGGGACTGTTTAGAAGAGAATTTTATTCAGTATTCTCCTTTGTAAAGTCTAACACAAATACCGTATTACACTGAATCTAAGATACCATCAGCTGTAAGATGCATCATGATTACCTACCATTAAGAGAAAAAATGCAGCAGTTAAACTATATCCCATACTTCTTCACATTAACTCTCCTGGATTGCTTTTCAACTCTGGATTGGTATGTTCCCACTTTTCACATGGTATCAGCATCTGTGTCATCAAGAGCAAAGCAGGGGCAACACAGTCAATAATGCTGCACTACCTTGCATGGTGATGGATGGTAACTGGACTCATCAGGAGAGTATTTTGTAAATGTATAAAAATGTTAAGTCACCATGATGTACACCTGAAACTAATAGGACATCGTGTGTCAAGTATACTTTAATAAAAAAATTAAAATTTATAATAGCATTGAGAATGCTGTGTATCTTTTAAAAGTATTCCACTACTACCTACAGAATTTTCTGCCAAGCAAGTAATATTTGACCTGAAGGTTTTGATATTGTTACTAAAAAAAAAAACTAACTAGCAAATGACAACAGTAGATTTTCGGACAAGAACCAAGACTTTATTCTTTCTTCAAATAGTCCTAAATTGTTTGCTGACTGAAACTTTGAGGGATCTGTTATGCCACCATGAATTACAGCAAAATTTTTTCTGCACAATGACAAATGGCACCTCAGTGGCACCCAGCCGACAGATGCCTGGGATGAAAATGTGAGCATTGATGTCCCAGGATTGGTAAACTACAGTAACTCAGTCTGCCTGTCTGCCTTCAGTCCTATGTTATATCCTTAACCTGAAAAGCCCCAGCACAGCTTCTCAGCTGGCTGTCATAGCTGGTATTAGCTCTTCTTTACTTAGCCTAGAGTCTTCTCAAGAGCTCCCCTGGGTGGTCCTTATTCCTACCCTATTCCAACCTTCTCTACTTTGGAAGTAGTTCTAATCTTTTCATGTCAGCTAGTTTTCCACTTGATAGCCACCAAGCAAAAATGAAAAGATCAGCCAAGATTTTGCATCTCAAAAGAAGAGATGCTTCATCTCTCATTGTTTTTATTAAGAAGAGCTATGCAGCTTTGAAGCACAGAAGTAGTTCTCAACTCTGGCTGTGAAGTCAAATAATTTGTGGAGATTTTTAAAATGTAGATTCCAGTGGGCTATCCCAAGATTCACTGACTCAGACTCTCAGGGTTGGAGATGTAATAGGGGGAAAGCAGGCATATGTATTTTTATAAGATTGACACAGATTAAAGTGATACATCATCCAGGTTGTAAACCATGATGGGAAGAAGGACATTAGGCACTTTCCCGTTCAGGCAGGACAACTCTAGTGGTAAACACTGACACAAATTTGCAATCAAGAGGCCCCAACTCTAAGTGTGCAGCAACAAACCATTCCTAGCAATGGACCACAATTTTATTCATCCAAACCGTAACACTCACTTCATCCAGTACTCAATATGATTAAACTAGGAGTTTGAAGGATATTGTAAAGATCTGACACAGGACAGGCATGGTAGGAAACAGAGGATGAGATTTTCTTTCTCCAACCTGCCAGCAACCCCACATGCTGCCTGGTTTGAGGTCATGGGGAAGGTGATCTTGTCCTCCATTCTCAAGCCACAGCTTTCCAGGCCCATTTCAGGAACAATAAGTTTCTACAGCCTTAGAGTGGAAGGTTGTGCTAATGAGGACCTGCACTCAAATATCATGCAACTCCACACCAAAGGGCTCAGGACATGGTGTTTATGGCTGCGGGAGGGCCTGCACCTCCTCTCCTAATCACCTCCATTTTTAGCAAAGGTTCTTCTGAATTTTAGATAAGCATTGACATCTCCTATCTTGTCTAGGTGCAAGTAGATAATGGTGATTCTACTGTTAGTTCTATGGCCTTTTAATTGTGCTGGGGAATTTACAATGCAGTTTCCACACTAAAACCTAGATCACCTCTTACTCACCTCTTAGCTCCAGGGACCTCTTGCTCATCACCATGGAAGAGCCTGAGAGTCATTGTGAATTCCTTTAACGCTGGACTTAAAGCAGAGGCTGGAAGCAAGAACACAGGAAGCACAAATCAGTGCTGATGACTAAAATAGTCATGCTGTACTTTTTCTCTTGCTACTATGTACTGAACCCATGCCATGTGCCAGGTCCTTTACCTAAACTACCTTTATAAAAATGTTTTAAATTGAACTGTAGTTGATATACAATATTATATTGGTTTTTGATGTACAATATAATGATCTGACAATTATACACATTACCAAACACTTACCACAGTAAGTGTAGTCACCATCTGTCACCATATAAAGATATGACAGCAAGATTGGCTATATTCCCTAGGCTGTACTATGTTATCTCATTTAATCCTCACCACAACCTATGATGTAGGCTTCACTGTCCATCCCAGTGGCAGAAACACACTCAGGTTAAGCAACATCCAATGTCACATACTAAGTAAGGGCTCAATCGAGGAATTAACTCCAGATCTGATTCCAAAGTTGAAGGTCTCTCAAACATTGGTTGTGTCTGAAAGGCACGCTGTGCTGGGTATGCTCAACTCTCCAAGGCTGGTTCAGACTATCTGTTCCTTAGACAGCCCTCAACTATGTCTGTTCTGGGGTTTTGCTCCTTGAGCTTTACTGCAGAGTGATGGCAACCAAAGCCATCTGGGGCTGACGCACCCGCCCCTTCCCCTCCAGGGAGCAGGGCACGGAGGAGAGAAGGGCCACCGGTTTCTCAGACCTCTCCCTCCTTCCCCTCCCTCTTCCCCTTCCTCCTCCTCAGCTCCCCACTGCACACCTGGAAAATGTCCTGCTCTTCCTGAGGCTAGAAGCCTTCTCCAACTCATAGCTTCCATGCCAAGCACCTTTAGGGTCTTGACTTCTGAAAATCAAAAGCTCTCCCCCCCCACATTCTTTGATAAGACTCCTCTTTCCCCTTATACAATAAGTGATGCCTGAATGGGGCTGGGGGTGGGGGACAGACACAGAGGCAAAAGGAGCTGCCAGAGGGGGAAGTCAGTTAATACAGTAAGAACATCATTCTGCCAGTGTTCTTACCACCCCCTTTAAATGTGGTTCATTCGTTGAGCAAAGAGGAAAAGGTTTACTCTGCATCTTCCTTCATAGTAATAAGTCCTTCTGTTCTGTGTCTCAGGTGAATTTCAGTCACAGGTGACTGCTCTGGACTAGAAACTGCATCCTGAGGTCACCCTGATTCCTAAAATGATGGGTCTCACAACTTGAGAGCTGCCTCTGTCTGAGAGTTACTGCTGACTCTCCGGATATTTTCTCAAAAGATGCAGCGGAAAGAAAAACTGCTAATCAGCAAAGCATGCGATTGTTTAGAAATAGAACAATTCTGTGTGGCTGGCATGGCTGCTGCACAGTCCTTGAAACATTCTACCACAAGATCCTTAAGTCGGGGCTATGTATTTCATGAGCCTCATGAGCCAGTAATAACCACAGGGAATTAAATGCTTCCCTTCCTGCTACCTGTCCACACACAGCTACTCTTTCCCTGTTCGCTGAAACTGCTGCTCCTTCTCGTCCCTTGTGGCGTGCCTGTGGCTAGACACCGGAGCCCTCTCTTTGGCTTCCGTTGCTCTGCCTGGTTCATAGGACAGTCTTCTGCATCACCCTGATGGACTAAAAGAAAAATAACTTGTCAGTTTAAAAAAATATATCAAAGCCAAAACTGTAGAATTTGAGAAAAATAGTAACTTGATTACTGTCCTCACCAACTGACTGCTCCAAATGAGGCCCAAGGGAATTTTATTTCTAAAATGCAACTATTTATTAGGAAGACCCCTTGGTTCAAGTTCATAAATAACCATAGGGCCTACTCCACAATAAACCCATACAGGTAAGGTTTAAAGAGGTCTCTCCCCATTAAGAGGAAAGAAACTCTCCTTGTCACAAACTCATTTCCTCCCCTGCAGCTATGGATTTATCAGCAAACTTGTTCATAACAGTCATCTCATGAATGATGACTGGGAACAAAAAATGTTTCCTGCCACAAAGCCTGCTCAGGTTGGTTCAAAAATGGCAGTCTTCCTGCTAAAATGAAACTTCCCTGGGCCAAAATAATATCTCTAGGGAATAAGTGGAGGGGGAGGGTTTACGGTGGTGCGGTCCCCACATCTCCAGGATCTGAAGGGATGCGCTCAGCAGCATTTGGTTTCACTACCTTATATATATTCAGACAATACGCTGAAGAGATATGGACCACAAATGGGCTGAATTTTTGTTTATTTTCACCCACCCAAAGAGTTGAACATTAAGTATTCAATTGAATTTTTATTATTCGGTGAAAATACAAATGCACAAGGTCATTCAGGGAGTATGTGAGTGCCTGCCTGACACAATACTTTCCATCAGTGACAGTAGCTTCTTTTCATTTCAAGAAAACAAATTTAGGTCCTATGACCAATAAATGCTAATATGTGAATAATGCATTGATTGAACACTGCAATTCTGACAACAGTAAGTCAACAGCAGCTCAAGTAGTGATCATTTTAAATAATATCCAGAAATATATTTAATTTGATGTTGACTCTGTCACCTCCATTATCTTCTTGGTACCAAGCAAAATATACAGGAAATTTCTCTCCCACATCCTCTCCCAAAATTAAGCACATGGTTCCAAAAAAAACATGCCTCACCTAACCAGACATTTTCTGAGAAGCACATTCAGTATTTTAAACTCAAGGCAACACTGAGAGTCCATTAAACATTTTCAAAGCCTCTGAATTCTTCAATAAAGTGAGGAGAATCCATATACCTCACCCAGTCTGCCTAACTTATTAGAGTGTGAGATGAGAATCATCGAAATGCAGAGTTAAACAATGAAATTTTCCAAGTGTATACATGCGGTAAGAATCCATTACCTCTTCTCAAACCAGCAAATTGGTTTCAAGTATTCGGTTCACTGGTTACATCCAACGGCCATGACTAAGAGACCACCTCCTGAGTGAAGGGAATGGGATGGTGAATACAAGAAAACTCTGTTATCAGAATTCCTATGCATCTTACTTCATGGATGGTATTTGCAAAACTCTTGGAAAGAACAGTGGCCATAATTTCCAGCAACCCCCTTTGTTGGAATTTCAACAAAAAAGCTTTTGCAGAGCACTCTGTGCTGTCCCATTTCATTAAAACAACTCACTGCAATGTAATTGTTTATGTAATTTGATTATTTCTTGGATTTTAGATTTTTCTTAACTTTGCAGCCAGATAGTTCTAAAATAAAACTAATATTCTCTAGAAAAGTTTAGCTGAAGTAACTGGCCCTTCTCCTGAGCTATGGGCTCTGGGAATATTTGTCAGAAAATCCAGTAATTGAACTAGCAGGCCTGACCTCACTCTCAGGCAAGTAGCCTGTAGAAGCTCTTTTCTCCTTTGCTGCCTTCTCATTCCCTGAGCACCATCCATCCTTCTCTCCAGCAACTAAGGCGATCGTCTCCTCCGCACACTGCACTGAGGTCATTCTCCTGCTCTCAGAGGGCTTCTCTACCAATCCTCTACTTCAGAAACTCCCTTCCTTTACTTCTTCTTGGGATGGAATGTTTATGTAGGAATTCTAGCCCAAAGTACAGCTAGCTCTACAGTCTGGATGAAAGGTCTTCCTTCAGCTGGGTAAAATGTGTCTTCTGCTGAAGTGCACACACTTTCAAAAGGGACATGTGCAGAGGGAAAGGAAGAGGGACCTTTCCTAGGCAGCCACATCCACTGGCTCATGAGCAGCTTGTTTTCTCCAGTGGTCCCGAAGCACCTTTCCTTTCCCATCTGCCCAGCCCTGTGCTCTCCACCAGAAGGGCCGACCTCAGAACATGCCTCTCAGAGCATCTTTCCTCTGCTAGAAATCGGAGTCCTCTTTCCCTCCATATGCACCAGGGCTTAGTAGATTTCAGGATGGAATACTACTATTTCAGAGACACTGTGGGTTACCCAGGCCTTTGTGGGCTGGCCAAGAAGCCCTACTAACATTAATTAATGTAATCTACTGATAACCATTTATCCCTACTTGTTAAAGGGATTTTAGCATTATTAATAATATCATTCATGACTAGCCTAGTATCTAAGAGAAACTGGGAGTTACAAACAACAGGATTATAAACCAATCTTTGGAAAGAGTATCAAAAGCGAGAGGGTGCTTTTTATGGTTTGACTGCTTGCTTCTCATTTTTTACCTTTCCACATATTTATTTATTCAATAAATATTTGATCATTCTGTTGGGGGCTTGGACTAAAACAATAATCTAAAGCAGATGCATTCTTCCGTGGTGGTGTTACAATCTAGTAGAATAGACAGACAACCAAATAATGGAAAGAGGAAAACCACCATGGTGAGAAATGGTAGAAAGGAATAGGCGCACAGTACTCCCCTAGGAATCATCAGTCTACTCAGGGAAGCCACGAAGGCTAGTAAGCAGAAAAGAACATTCCAGAAGAAGGAATACTGTGTGTAAAAGTCCCATGGTGCAGGGAGCCAGGCAAGGAACTGAAAGGAAGTGCAGAGCAGGAGCACAGACATGGAGGGGAAAGGGGCTCAGACGAGGCTGGACAGGCGGGCAGCAGCTGTATCTTACAGTGCTTAACAGGGAAGAACAAAAAGAAGGCTGCATGGGTTTCACCGGCAAGGAGTAACAGGATCAAGTGGACATTTTTATAAGACCGCTCTGGCCCCAGTGCGGAGAAACCCTGGGGGCACAGGGGGCCGCCAGAAATCCACTTCCAAAAGGCCACTGCAGGACTCCTCATGAGAAATAATGGCCAGTCATGGACTGAGACAGACTCAGGAGACCATTAGTTGGGAAATAGGATTTAGCAATGAAGTGAATATGAGGGCTGAAGTTCAGGAAGCACGGAGGAATGACTTTCAGGTTTCTTACGTGCCCTAGTTTAATTCTTTGATCCTTTGCTTTATCATTGACTATTGTCTATGTTTTTTAGGCAATTATTATTTCTGTCTCTGCATGCTCCTACTTCACCTAGAAAGAAAAATTCCCTATTACTTCAAAAAACAATAGATGGAGACCCTCAGCATTATTCCACCAATCCCCTCAAATCTATTTTTAACATGTAAAATACCCAAATTATTTCTCTTCGTAGTTTTTAAACTAAGTTTGGTTTCTCCTGCTTATTATTTTTTTCTGCTTAGTATAATTTCTTTCATTGAAATGAGAAATCTGAAATGTTGATACAGTGGTAGCAGATTTTGTTACAAATAACTGAAACCAACTTGAACCAACTAACACAAAAATGAATTTATTATTAAGAACACGAGGCTGCCTCAAAGAATCAAATGCAGAAATGCAACCAAGACTTAGGAATGAACTGGAATTCCTCAGGGATATCTATCCATATTTTGTCTTCTCTAAATGGTGGCTTCAGCCTTTTACCTTGGAAGTCTATCTTTCTCCAATCTTCAATCCACAAGACAGCTCTGTAACAGCTCCTGAATTATATGCTCTGGGTTTAGCCACACAGAGTGACCCTCTGTCTCTCAGTGTCTCAATCCCAAATCTCAGTGATGGTATTTTAGCCAGTTACAGTCAGGTGTTCGACCCTGGCCAATTAACTGGGGCTGGAGGTGGATGGGGGTGGGAGTTCAAGGAAGAAATAGCTAACGCCAATTCTGAGTTCCTACAGAAGGGAGAATTGTTCTAGACTTGGCAGACACCCCATATGGAAAAGGAGAAAAACAATAGCTTCTTTGCTTCAATAAACACGAGTTAAGTACCAACCAATGTTCCAGGGCCAGGGGAAGCCTGTGGATATACAAACTAAGGGCAGCAAATTCTACCTTCAAGGAGCATGACACCCAGCACTGCCTGTGAATACCTTGGCCCCTCCTTCCATGTGGCCACTTACCTACAGCAGTACCTAAACACTCACGGGGCACGCTACAGAACCAACATATATGATGTTTATATGCTACGGGGTCAACATTCAGCCTTCATCTTGGGCAATAACAAAGCACCTTCAGACAGAAAGGCAAAGATTCAGTCTCCCAGTTGCTGACAGGTGCTAACAAAGGAGCAGGAAATACAGAATTTCTGATGCAGACAACTTAAATGTTCATTGAAGATGCACAACATGCCAGTCAAGTTGCTAGACAGGCCTGCATCATAAGAGTAGGCAGAACATCAGATGTGGAGTCAGAGGACATGCGATCTAATCACACTGTGTGGCCTCACACAGTGTACTGAGATACATGTACGGAGGCTCATACCTGCCTCCCAAGGTTAGAGTGGGAAAGCAGGAATTAAAAGGGCAAGTACAAAAGTATGAAGGGAGAAAGGCAGCCCTGAGAAGGCTGTCCTAACAGAAGGACTGGTGAGAAGCAGAAGTGAGGCTGCGGAACCCACAAGAACTATCAGAAGGTCGGGGGCCAGAGCAGGCACGAGGAGGGGGTCTGCGTACATGTGTGGTAGGAGGTAAGCCTGAAAACTTGGACAAGAGTTTTCTGCTGAGGATTTATAAATGGGAGGCAGGGCAGTGAGGAGCAAAGGGAATAGATGAAAACAGGTCCGAGAGCATGAAGGTTCCACCGGACCTATGGCTTGACTGCAGGGTAGCTAACATAGGCCATCAGTTCCCATTCCCGTACTGTGTGATGTGCCTCTCACTTTGCAGATTTAGTTGTACCTAATCTTTCCTTTTCAAACAAAGTAAAGAAAAGCTACCTAGTTATTGTAGTAACTTCCACCTACAAACAGAAAATATTTTTCAACTTCCTTATCCAGCACAATTTTGCTTCCATCCTATTGCCTTGCAAACCTCTTTTAGATGTCCTTTCCATGATAAGCTTAAATTCAGATGTGCTGCCTCTCTAGGAAGCTCTCATCTCCTCTTCAATTTCTCATATGTTTGTCCTCTATCAGATTTTATTTTTGCATTTTCAGATTCACTAAATTTCTATTTGTGTGTGAGCAGTGCTGTCCACTTAAAATCCTACAGGCACTTCAGCCCAATGTGGGGCCCTAGGCATTTTAAGTCAGTAGCATTACTGTTGAGTTTCTGTTGCTGTCTCTATAGGATCCCAAATGCAGGACAGGAGATACTAAGGTCCTTTTCATTTAAGTCGTCAGAACATCATGAAAATACATAAATAAAACTCACTTTATACTCTCAAAATTCATTCCTCTTTTTTAGAATATGCCTTCTCAACAGTGATATTTTGCCCTAAGGGAGTGAACATTGATTTCTGTGAGGCAAAACATCATCGCTTCGCAGTGGTTTGTGGCCCTCAAAACCTCAACCCTATCCAACTGCCTGGATGTACCGATTACTCATAGTATTAAAATTTCACCATGGGAGGAAGTAATTAGGAAAAAGATGTCTGAAAAGGAACCTATGTGGGGAAATAAGAAAAATTTTAAGTTGAGGAAAATAATTTAGAACTAACTTATACTTGCATAGTACCTTGGTTTATGAAAGAGTTAAATACAGTCTTTCATTTGATCGCCACAAAAATCAGGTGGATTGGGTAATATTTATTAACCTGTTTTCCAGACTTAATTGATGACCAGGGATTACTTTTTAATTGTGTGACTTTGATAGCAAATTTCCCATCCATCTATGACCACACAGCATATACATTCCGTTAAAGCAGGATTTCTCAACCTCAGGGTTACTGACAGGATCAGTCTTGGCTGGAGGGGAGGGCAGGGGGCGTCCCGGGCCCTGTGGGACACTGAGCAGCATCTCAGGCCTCCACCCAATACACAGTAGCACTCCCTCCACCACCACCTCCACCATTTGGGACAACCAAAAATGTCCCCAGATGTTGTGCAATGTCCCCTGGGGAATAGGGAAGGGGATGTAAGTCTTGACTGGGAATCACTGATTTAAAGCCTACTTATAAAGAGACTATCATCTACTACTTTAAAATGCACATATAGTATCACAACAGCTAACAATCATTGAGCATTTACCATATGCCGAGCACTTTCTATGTAT